GAATGAAGGGTGATGAAGAGGTATTTGATTTTTTTTTGTCTTTTGTTTTTGCATCCTTGCATGCAGCATTTAGTAAGTTTAGCTGGGAGCGATCTTTCTGGTCTGGGAGGACTGTTATTCTATCCAGCTGCGACCAATTCTTCTTTCCCTGCCTCTGAATTCAAATAGAGCCTTGCCTCTCTGCTCAGTGCATATATTCCCTCTTAGTAGTCCATTGGAAGTTAGGGTAGGCTCTTGAAGTGTCTCCCCCAACCCACCCCCACCCCGGAAAGCAATCATGTATGTCAGTTTGCTGTTTGAGCCGGTCATTCGTAAGTAATGAAACCTTTCATTCTTTCTCTCACGAATGTCACAGAGTGAGTTACTGAGACTGCGAGTGCCAGCCTGATGAGAAAAAAAAGGGGTGGACCGCTTTGGGGAACTCAAAACTATTCTGCTCTGTAAACCCCTGCACTTTTGCCGTGTTGACGTCATCAAAAAGACCAAAGGTCTACTTTATTTGTATACTTGCTGTCTTTAACTTTAATGACAGCAAGTATACAAATAGAGTAGACCTTTGGTCTAGATGGCCGAGATAGAAATCCAATCAATCAATTAATCAATACTAAAAAAAAGTCAAACAAATACCACACTAAAAGACAGTAAACATAAGCAACACTAAAAAAAAACAAACATTCAAAGGAATGAGGCACAACCATCCATTTTAGGGCACCCTTTACACCCCAGCTGAAGTGTTGTCTCTCCCTGGAAGTTTTCAGTGTGAATGAGATGGCCTCACAGTTACCTCCAAGGAGCTGTACAAAATTAATGAATTCCCCCAGAAAGTTCTGAAAAGCTTTCAGAAAATATGCCCCCACTTCTGCCGCCTTTATCATTCAGTTCGACTCAGATTATATTCTTTTTGTGGTGGGATAAATGCCGAATGTTCCTTGAGGGCTCTTCTCCCAGCAGAAGACCCCCTTAATCAAAAGCAGGAGAAAGCCAACGGCCTGCGCCCCAAACCTTTTCAGGACGGCCGAGCTATCCTTATTTGAAACTATTTTTTTGCATCTAGCAGAATAAAGAAATAAATACTCTGGGGCAGTACGACGGTGGAGCCAATGGCCTCGGGAGTGGGTGAGCGCTCCAACCCAAGAGGCATTCAAGAAAGACTTAGATCATCACCTGGAAGGTATGCTTTGATTTGTATTCCTGCACTGAGCAGGGGGGTTGGACTGGATGGCCTTAGAGGCCCCTTCCAACTTCACTTTTCTATGATTCTCAAAAAAAAAAAATCCTCCCCAACATTGAAGAACAACATGTGCATGAGGTATTTTGCACAAGGCCTTGTGTAATTTCCTTCTTGAACTGCAGCTCCCAGATTCCCTGACTGGAAAGGCTAGCTAGGGGATTCTGGGCACTGTCGTTGAAAAAAACCCAAACTTTCCCAAATTCTGGATTTGAAACACTTCCACGCCCATAAATCACATACACCCTCAGCTTGGACAAGCTATTTTTGACTAGAAGTCCCAGCATCTCCTCCCCTCCCCCCCCCCGAGCTTGCAGCTTGCATGGCTGAGGATTCTGAGTGTTGCAGAGGGAAAAAAGGGAAATTTCGGTTTGCATGCTCAAAGCACGAGAGATTCTCGGTTACCTAGATTCCTGCAGATCTGGATAAATTACAGATTGGATAAATGACTGCTTTTTGGCCCAAAGTTCTAGAATTCCCCCCAATTGGCATGGGCAGTGGCTGGCTAACAACCCTGGGAGTTGTAATTAAAAGTAACTCTTGATTTGCCCAGCCAGTCCACCATAGAAATATGTCTTGGCGGCAGCTGTTACCTCTAATGCACAGAACATCTGGATCGAACCAACAGCTGGAGTCTGCTGGGAGTGGCCATCCTCCGGGGAAGTGGATCGGCCTCCCCAGAGAATGCACCGTTCCGGAAGATGCCACGAGCAGGTGGGTCGGGAAAAGCTGGCTTCCTTTGCCGTCCGTGTCCAGGATGACGTATTTGGCCAGCGGTCTTCCTCGGCTGTCCGTCTGGACCCGGCGGCTGAATCCGGCAAAGTCCAGGTTTTTGACATGTTGAGTCAAAGCTATCCCTGAGAACTTAGAGGTTTGGTGGTGATGGTGGGACTTGGCCACAGCTTTGGCGACCAGATAGACTGTATCGTAGATGGTGCCGAAGAGAGGAGAGACCTGAGGGGGGAAATCCAGAAGAGCTTTTAATCCAGAAGAGGACTGTGTCAGTTACAAGCCAAAAAGAGGGAACATCTCCAAACGGTGGTTCTCAACCTTTTCCGATCACGACCCCTTTTTATAATAGCCAAGTCACCTGCAACTCCTCTCCCGCCACATTTGCATAGAAGGCATTTTTGTTGAGGTTCCCAGAAAGCAGAGGCTTCTTTCTCCTCCGAAGGTCCGGTTTCTCACACACGCTAACTTTTATACCCAGTTCTAGTCAAGGAAGGAATTATTTCACAAGGCCCA